TGCTTTCCCAGGCTACAGTAGAGAGCTGGATCAGAAGTGGAGCAGCCAGGACTCGAACCGGGGCTCATATGGGATGCCAGAGCTTCAGGCGGAGTCTTAGCCTATTGCGCCACAGCGCTGGTCCCTCTAATTATTCTTCTAACATTAGCTTGGGGAGTCTATCTCTTCTTGTCTTTTATAGTTCTTTGCAGCGTTTCCTGGCTTAACTGGTGAATAATAGTTCACTCTGGCTTCAGTTTGCATCTCATAGTTGCCAAAGAGGTCCGAACTTTAAATACAGCTTTCACCATTTCTCCTTCTTCCTGCTTTTCTTAAGGTATTTTTCTCTTTTTGTTTTTTCTTTTTTTTCTTTCTTTTTTTTTTTTTTTGACAGGCAGAGTGGACAGTGAGAGAGAGAGACAGAGAGAAAGGTCTTCCTTTTTTGCTGTTGGTTCACCCTCCAATGGCCACTGCGGCCAGCGCACCGTGCTGATCCAATGGCAGGAGCCAGGTGCTTCTCCTGGTCTCCCATGGGGTGCAGGGCCCAAGCACTTGGGCCATCCTCCACTGCACTCCCTGGTGCTTCTCCCCTGTGAAGTATCAGTGGAGTCTAAGCAAGAAGCTGATGGCATATTTTTAAAAGATTTATTTATTTATTTTACAAGACAGAGTGATAAAGAGAGAGAGAGAGAGAGAGAGATCTTCCATCCGTTGGTTCACTCCCCAAATGCCTGGGCCAGGCTGAAGTCAGGAGCCTGGAACTCCACCCAGGTCTCCCACTGGGGTGCAGGGGCCCAAACACTTGGGCCGTCTTCTGCTAGCTTCCCCAGGCACAGTAGCAGAGAGCTGGATCGTAAGTGGGGTAGCCTGGACTCAAACCAGCACTCTGATAGGGTGGTGGCTTGACCTGCTGCGCCACAATGCCCGCCCCCAAAGCAGATGGCCTATTAAGGCTCATTTAATGATGAGACTATTTGCACATCGAAGGGGTGGTGTTTAGGGGCCCTGGGCTTGCAAAAGTAAGGGGCAATTTATCATTCCCAGCCCTGGCGCCAGGAGAGAGGGAGGTGCTGGGACCAGGACCGGTGTCTGCACACACAGGGTCCCTGGCCGAGGCCCTGGTCTTTCCTACGGGATCCTGCCAGCCTGCAGAGACCCCTAAGGAGCGTCCCAGCCCAGCACAGCCCTCCCCTTACTCCCCTCCGTTTTTTGGCCCCTCCCACTGGCACAGAGCAAACCAAGACAGATTCTGCGGGGCTGCCCAGGATTCTGCCGCGTGCGCCCTCTGCTGGCGGGGAGCGGGCCAGCACCTGCCCCAGGCAAACCCACGCTCAGTGGGCAGGTATTCGGAGCCAGCAGGTCAGCCGGGGCCAGGGGCACTCACAGGACAGAAGAGTGGACCTGGCCGCTCTCGCTTTGCTCACCGCCCCCATCCCTCTCTCCGACTCCTGCCATCTCTCCCTCCTCCCGGGGCTCCTACAGGGCACACAGGGTGGGACTGTCACATCGGGGTCCACTCGCTGGCTCCTTAGCGTGGGCTGTCGGGGGGTTATCGCAAGCTACCCCCTGACATACTTGGATCTGGCAGCTCCTCTTGGAGTGTGGGGTCACTGATACCCCCCTTCCCCTCCCCGTGAGGCCCCTGCAAGCGACAGGTCTCCATGGATTCTTTGGGCCTCTGTACAGGGAGTGTCCCAGAGAAGAGAGTTTGCATATCAGTAAAAAAGAAAGAAAGAAAGAAAGAATTCCTGGGCCAGCCATTCTCCCGGGGAGAGAGAACAACGGTGTGGAGAGGAGAGGGCGATCCTGACCCAGGAATTTAAAGTGTGTGCACGTTGGGGATGGGAGGGTGGGCGCTGGTGACTAATATTCTATTTTAAGTCATTGCTACTACACTGTGTTCCCAAATCTTCAGCAAAACTCGGCTACAAATAGCTGCCTGTGCTCCTGTAATCTGGGGAAAATCGGGGTGGAAAGGGGCTGGTGATTTTATGTGTCAGCTTGGCCAGGCCACCAGGCGCCCAGACGCTCGGTCACACGTTGTTCCAAGGGTGTGCTGGATCAGGCTGACGTACGGAGCGGAGGACCCAGCAGAGAGCTGGCCCGCCCTCACGTGGGGGCTGCACCCCGCCCATTGGAAGGCTGGTTTGCTAGCACAGACATGCGGAATAAGGGGTGGGCGGCGGGGGGTGCAGCCCACAGCCCATGTCGGGGTGCCCAGTTCAAGTCTCAGCTGCTCCACTTCTGATCCAGCTCCCCGCTAATGTGCCTGGGAAGAAGTGGATGATGGGCCAAGTCCTGGGGTCCCTGCCATCCACATGGACAATCCTGAGGGAGTTCCTGGCTCCTGGCTTCAGCCTGGCCCAGCCCTGGCTGTGTGGGCATTTGGGGAGGGAACCAGCAGAAGGAAGATTGATCTCTCTCTCTTTCTGTCTTTCTGCCACTCTGTCTTTCAAGTAAATAAATGTTAAAAAGGAAAAGGCTAGATAATCCCTTCTGCCTGACTACCTTTGAGCTGGGGCTGTGTTTTCTGACTTTGAACTTGAACTGAAGCGTAGGTTCTTCCTGGGTCTCGGGGCTGCTGGTGGGCTGCAGAGGATGGAGTCCGTCACCCTCCATGGCTGCACGGATACGGATTCTGTGTGTGTGCGTGTGCGTGTGTGGGGCTGCCCATCGGCTCTGCAGACCTGGAGACCCCTCTCAGTGCGGTTTCCCCTGAGGCCGTTGTCAGGTGGAAGTGAAGGGAGCAGCAGCGATGTCCGTGAGATGAAGCAGCCAAGAAGTGGAGCAGGTGGAGTGTGGGAGAAATACAAGGTCATGGATGTCTGTGTGTGTCTCTGTGTGCATGCGTGTACACGTGTGTATCTGTGTGTCGATGTGAATGTGCATATGTGTATATCTCTGTGTGTGCATGTGTGTATCTGTGTGTCCATGTGTGTGAATGTGCACATGTATATCTGTGTCTCTGTGTGCATGCATGTACATGTGTGTATCTGTGTCTCTGTGTGTGAATATGCATATGTGTATATCTGTGTGTCTCTGTGTGTGCATGTATGTGCCTCTGTGTATGTGTGTATCTGTGTGTCTGTGTCTCTGTGTGTCCGTGTGTGTGCATGCATATGTGTGTATATCTGTGTGTCTGTGTATCTGTGTCTCTCTGTGTGCCTTTGTGTGCACGTGTGTGTGTGTCTGTGTCTCTGTGTGTGTGCTTTGGCAGCAGGTGGGGGCCCGAGTTTCTTCTGATGGTGGAAGTTCAAGAGGTTTCTTGAAGCCTTGGGAGGGAAAAGGCGCTCCTCCCAAGGCCGCCAGGGTCTGGGTGCCAGCCCGGCAGGAGGCATGTGGTCTCATTTGCCTTCTTTGTCAGATCTGCGGGTCTTCCTCCATGTGCTGTGACTCCCGGTACGGCTAAGCTGCTGTCGCATGGCCCTTGGCTCACGGGCCCCGTGGCCATCTTGTGTTTTCTTCTCACACCCTTTCTGTTCCCTGTACACACTTGTCTTCTGCACTGGGGGCCAAGGTGGGAAGCTCGTGGGACAGTGGGAGGTGACCAGAGCTCTGGGTGCTGGGGCCCAGCTGGGGACGCAGGCCTAGCAGAATGGGTTGAACTGACGGCTACTGACGGCAGGGGGACATAGCATGATCTAGACATGGCTGGTGACAGGCGTGACCCCTGTGCTATCTCGGGGCCGTCTCCACCTGCTCCTAAGAATGCCCCCTGGGGGGCGGGCCGAGGGAGCTCCTGAGACCCAGGCCATGGGCATTAAGAGAGGCATACTGGATGGGGCAGGTGGTTGGTGCAGTATCGTGTCCCTTGGACGACTGGCTCAGAGCGAGGCGCACGCGGACGGAAAGTCAATCAAGCAGGCGGGATGACGACTTGTAACGTTTACTGTGACACGGCAAGAGTTTCCACACAGGAAGGGACGGCGCGTGGCTTCGGGGACCCTCGCCCACCCCCCTCCCCCGCCGCGCGCGAGATTTAAGACAATTCATTCTTCATTTCTCTGACAGCAACTTCTCGAAGTGCATAGATAATAAATAAATAGAAAATAAATCTCTGTCCATGGTGACGCCTCCCGGAAATGTTTACACACAACACACAACATCCAAACTCCCCAAAACAGGGCCAGTGGTGCCGATGGGTGGAAAGAGGCCAGCGTTTCAGAGGGCTGCTGGTTTCTGGGGCACCCAGCTCACTGGAACGCTACACACAGAGGCAGAACAGTTTTCTAGCCGATACGCGCGTCCGCGCTACCCAGAGGATGCCTGGACACGGGCTCTTGGCGAATGGTCCAGGCAGGACGGCCCCAAGTCCAGATCCTGTCCCATGACACACACGCACACCTCCGGGAACTTCCAAGAGACGC